GCTACCAACAATATTACAAATTGTCAGGATATGATTCAGTTGTCAAGTGAAGGTTCTCACCTATAGCTGGCTACCAACAATATTACAAATTGTCAGGATATGATTCAGTTGTCAAGTGAAGGTTCTCACCTATAGCTGGCTACCAACAATATTACAAATTGTCAGGAAATGATTCACGTTGTCAAGTGAAGGTTCTCATAGTTTTAAATTCCATGTATTAAACTTCTTGTTTTAAACTCCATGTTGTAAACTTTGTCTTAAATTCCATGTATTAAACTTCGTGTTTTAAACTCCATGTTTCAAACTCCAAGTTTTAAATTCCATGTATTAAACTTCTTGTTTTAAACGCCATGTTTCAAACTCCAAGTTTTAAATTCCATGTTTTAAACTTCATGTTTTAAACTTTGTCTTAAATTCCATGTTTTAAACTCCATGTTTCGAACTCCACCTTTCAAATTTTATATTTTAAAATTCATGTTTTAAACTTTGTCTTAAATTCCATGTTTTAAATTCCATGTTTTAAACTCCATGTTTCGAACTCCACCTTTCAAATTTTATATTTTAAAATTCATGTTTTAAACTTTGTCTTAAATTCCATGTTTTAAACTCCATGTTTCGAACTCCACCTTTAAAATTTGATATTTTAAAATTCATGTTTCACCGCTCGTGTTTATCTTAGTGCATGAGTTTCTTCCTTTTTCTAAATCGGCATTTTTCAGACTAGCTCCAAAGGAACAATTTGTGAAGTTTAGTTATCCTAAGACAGAAATACTAGAACATCTGTCAGATTTGGATTTCACTAAGTTACTGAATTACAATCCTTTCTTACAATTATCTACGCAGCAATGGTTTACAAATTGTTTTAATATTCAGGCTTTTCTATTGCCCCATTTTCGATGGAATTGGATATACATAAAATATATATATAATATTTTGTTATATTTTCAAAACCTTGTTTCAAAACAACTGGCAAAACTCTACCTAATATTATATTCTTTTCTACTTGCTAGGTGATGGTTGCAGCCATCAGCCAAGAGGGCGAGGCTGAGGTCAGAAGATTGCAGATAACTGTTACAGAATTCAATCAATTTGCCCCTCAGTTTGAAAAAGAAGTTTACTACGGTGGCTTGCACGTGAATACCCAGGTGGATACTCCCGTCTTGAGTGTTCGTGCGTACGATGACGATCCCGTACCTTACAACGCCGAGGTGTACTACAGAATGCACCAGAATGCTTCCGGTTCTTCCTTTGCTGTAAACCCAACAACTGGACAACTAACCTTAATTCAACCCCTTCAGTTGTCTTCACAATCCCTAAAATTTGGGGTTTTCGCTGAGGATGGTGGCTCCCCCAAGCGATGGGCACAGACAAACATAGAGATTGCTGTGAAAACTATATCTGGTATGTTTAGAGTAACGTTTATCATTTTTCGATGCTTCCTAAACTGTCGAGAACTATTAAAATGAAAGTATAACTAAAACCCATTATGATTTAAATATGGATATTCTGTCATTATGACAATAAAGTTAGGAAAAAAAAACTACCGTTACTCTCTATATAATGGTTTTAAACAAATCAGCCATTATTTTACCATTTCGGCTTCATGAGGGCTACCAAAGGTCGTTGTTTTCTAACATAGTTGTGAAAACATCTAAATCCCTTCAGTGTGCACTACACAAAGAATAGTGTGTTAGGTTTGTTTGTTTTCGTGAAATCCCACGACCCGGCAAAGCGGTTGTAATCTACGAACAGGTGGTCGAGAAACGCGGGCTTCAAGTATTTCTATTTGTTTGTTTGTACTTAAGCACATAGCTGAACAACGGTCTATCTGTGCTGTGCCCACCAGGAGTATCGAAACCCGGTTTTTAGCGGTGTAAGTCCGCAGACATACCGCTGAGCCACAGGAGGGCAGGTGTAGAGTATCGTAATATGTTGCATCTTTGGATGAAATATCTTTAGAAGATAACGAGTGTTAACATCCAGCATATCTTAAAATAAAGCCACCTTAGGACACGTGAAAAGTAAAATTTAAAACGTTTCTTATGTTCAAAAGTTAATTCGTATTTTGTTTATAAGTACATATTACTGTGTGTAGTTCTTCCGTTAAATTTTATAAGTACATATTACTGTGTGTAGTTCTTCCGTTAAATTTTATAAGTACATATTACTGTGTGTAGTTCTTCCGTTAAATTGTATAAGTACATATTACTGTGTGTAGTTCTTCCGTTAAATTTTATAAGTACATATTACTGTGTGTAGTTCTTCCGTTAAATTTTATAAGAACATATTACTAGGTGTAGTTCTTCCGTTAAATTTTATAAGTACATATTACTGTGTGTAGTTCTTCGGTTAAATTTTATAAGTACATATTACTGTGTGTGGTTCTTCGTTAAATTTTATAAGTACATATTACTGTGTGTAGTTCTTCCGTTAAATTTTATAAGTACATATTACTGTGTGTAGTTCTTCCGTTAAATTTTATAAGTACATATTACTGTGTGTAGTTCTTCCGTTAAATTCCCTTCTCCGGGTTTCGTTGCAATATTGCTTAGCTTTCTGAACACATTTCTATTAAACGCTTAAAGTAAAATACCATAAAAAATGGCAGGTGTAGGTTTGTTTATGTAATAGTTATTTAATTGCGTTACACGTTTTATTTTTGAATATGTTTCAAACTTCGTGTTTCATCAAGCATTTTTACCATAGTGCTTATATGTGTTTCACAGTTATCCTTCGAACTACATAAATGTCACGTCTCAGTTGCGCATCTTTTTATGGCTGGTCTTAATAATAAAAATCAAAACAAGCCCACTCTCAGACTGATACATATGCAAGTGGTTGAGTTGACATTATGACCACCAGATGACGGTATGGTCGTTTACTAAAATCATTGAAACAAAAACTAGAAAGAAAACAGTCTTCCCGGATCTGTATAATCAGATAGTATTATGAATCTCTGGAGTCTCGCAGGGGGAAGCAGTGTTAAAAAGAAACTTGATACTTATCTTCTCAGTGGGGATCCTCCAGTTTTTTATTTTGTATTTTTTACAACAATAATGCGAGTTGGAAACTTGTTTTCGCAGTACGAATTTAATTAGTCTCCAAGAACTCTTAGTACCTTGTTTAAAAAGTCAGCTTGAAGACACAGAGTCCAGTAACGTCGTGTTTTTGTTACGAACCGTACTATGTAGGAAAGCTGACGCAAGTTTTTACGTAGCTGTTTGTACTTTGCACGTAAAAGAACCCGGATATTGAAAACAAAAAGAAACATCAGCATAAAATATACAACCATTTTTAATAAACACCTTCCGGCTTAAAACTCGTTGATAAAATATACAACCATCTTTAATAAACACCTTCCGGCTTAAAACTCGTTATTAAAATATACAACCATCTTTAATAAACACCTTCCGGGTTAAAACTCGTTGATAAAATATACAACTATCTTTAATAAACACCTTCCGGGTTAAAACTCGTTGCTAAGATATACAACCATCTTTAATAAACAACTTCCGGCTTAAAACTCGTTATTAAAATATACAACCATCTTTAATAAACACCTTCCGGGTTAAAACTCGTTGCTAAGATATACAACCATCTTTAATAACTTCCGGGTTAAAACTCGTTGATAACATATACAACCATCTTTAATAAACACCTTCCGGGTTAAAACTCGTTGCCGTGACTGAATCTGGATTTGACTATTAAACGAATATTACCTAGTGGTTGAAATAAACCTTTGTAGAGGGCATTTCATGACAACTAAAATTTGTTACAACATCTTAGCTACAGCTGTTTGTGAACGTATTTAGACCTCACCTTTAGAACACCACGACTATTATTTGGTTGGATTCAAGGTAACAATGTAATTCGAACAGCAACTGGTTATTTGTTCTCTAACATTTTATCATTATTATTTTAAACAAGTATTCAATTTGATATTGCCCTTGGCTACAGCTGTTTGTATAGATGTTTACAGCTCATTTGTTAGAGTAAATTTTTAAAGGCCACGGCTATTATTTGTTTGGATTTAACATAATTGAAATTAAGAACACCAGCTGGTGAGTTGTTCTTTAACCTTCTGTTATCAAATTGTTTAAACAAGTATTGCATTTGGTGTTGCCCTTAGCTACAGCTGTTTGTGGAGGTATTTAGAGCTCCTCTGTTGGAGTAAACTTTATAACACCACGGCTATTATTTGTTTGGATTTAACATAATTGAAATGAAGAACAGCAGGTGGTGAGTTGTTCTTTAACCTTTTATTATTATTATTTAAACAAGTATTAAATTTCACGTTGCCCTTAGCTACAGCTGTTTGTGGAGGTATTTAGAGTTCGTTTGTTGAAGTAAATTTTAAAACATCACGGCTAGTATTCTTTCGGGTAATTGATATGACGTAGAGCAGGTGGCGATTTGTTCTTTAACTTTGTTTATTATCTAAACAAGTACCGAGTTTGAAGAAGTCCTTGCAGCCACCTGATGGTATACAAACATAGACATAGTCTATTCACATTAAGAAACTAACTTCCATCACAGTTTGAAGTGCATACCGGAGGGATTTACACATTTTGATAAAAAGTTTAGAAAAAAAAACCTTTATACTCCAGATAATTATAATAATTTTTTATTTTAACCAACGTTTTGCCTGTGCGGCTTCTTCAGGGTTAGTACATACAACTGTTTGATATTAGAATATGTCATATGTTAGTATAGCTGTATAATGAGTATTATATCTTTACTATAATATGAGAACAATAGTCAAATAATAATAATAATATATACATTGTAAGAGGCACATTACGACAGACTCGAGAAATAGAGCATTGCAAGCAGTTTTATAATTTAACGAATATTCTAATATCAAAAAGTTATCTGTACTAACCATGATGAAGCCGCACAGGCGAAACGTTGGTTAAAATTAAAAAATATTTTATAATTAACCAAAGTATAAAGGGCGTTTTTTCTAACGTTTTTATCATAATTTCCATCAAGTTTAAGTACAAGGTTATATATATACTAGCGAAAGTACTCGGCTTCACTCGGGTTATTAGGTTGATTTACTCTAGATGACTATGTCAGTTTGTGTGTATTTTGAACCCATTTTAGCTTAAAAGTATAACCTATATACTTTTGTTGCTCCTTTATAGGATGTGGCCTGTTTATAAAGGTAACCTTCCCTCTGACTTGTCCTTCGATTTTAAACTTAAATAATAAAAACAAACCTCATTAATTAACGGAGCCTCTGAATTAGAAAACAGCAAATATTTTTTTCAATTCTGTATTTTATACCTTTCATTTTATACTTTCAGCACATAGCCTCTTAACAACAATATGAGGTTGTACTTTTATTTCTAAGCAACATGATATAAAAGCCATTGCTGGAACGCATTGTTACCAAAACGCACTGGCTTTTCTATATGTTAGAAGTTGTTATATAAGGAACCACTTATTTCCCATATGTTTTTTTCGCTGGTTTACCTCATTAAAAAGATGCGCATGTGCGCATGCACGTGGATAAGTAATAATACCCAGGGACACACCCTCAGGGTTCATTTAGTATGTGTACAGAATTACAGGTTTCAAGGTTCTTTCCTCTTGTAGTTATGGCGGTCGCACACAGTCACACCCATTTATCATTATAGATATCTAGATATTGTTGAATTGATTTCTGTCAATTTCTGGTGAAAAAACAAATTTGGTTCCGTTTCGTTTCATAGCTACTCTAGAATTACTGAAATAAGATGTCAACATATAAACATATTTTTAAGGGACTTTAAAAATTGTTTAAGATTTTTCTCACATAAAAACAACAACAAAAAAGACGTGAATTTGTATATATTTTATTGAGTTAAAGTACTTCTGTTTCAATGACTTTTGACATATTCCAAAGCCCCCCAGTGGCACAGCGGTATGTCTGCGGACTTACAACGCTAGAAACCGGGTTTCAATACCCGTGGTGGGTAGAGCACAGATAGCCCATTGTGTATCTTTGTGCTTAACTTCAAACAACAAACATATTCCAAAAAGAATCAAGATAAGGTGGTATTAAGAATCAACCAGTGGTGCTTTACATTTGGTGAGAAGGTCTGTGTGGTGTAGATTTTGTTTACACACTCCAAATACCATGGTATTTAAAATAAACTATAATTCATGTTATCTTTCACATGCAACAAAGATAAAACCAAAATGTAAAGTTATCGATAAGAATTTATTTTAAAGTTGATATAGGTATTACACTCTTCACACCTAAACCAATAGTAACAGAGTTGGGTCTTTCTTTACGCCTGATTTAGGTATTACACACTTCTCACCTAAACCAGTAGTAACATAGTTGGGTCTTTTTGTAAAAGTCTGGTTTAGGTATTACGCATTTCTGACCTAAACCAATACTCCCACAGTTG